CACCACCAGGGAGGAAGTCCATTGTGCAGTCATGGCTGAGAGCTACTGATTTGAATGAATATGCTTCTAGTTTTAAGTGTAGCCCACGTTTACTGAGTGCTTATTACATGCCAGGTGCTGAGCTAAGAGCTTTCTGTATATTGTATCATCTCATGTAATCCTTAAAACAACTCTATGAATTGGGAATCATTATTATGCTCATCTTAAAGATAAGAAAACTGAATTTTTGTGAGATTAAGTAATTTGCTCAGGGTCATGTACCTATTAAGAGAACAGTGATTCAAACTCAGAACATCTGCCTCTAGAGCCTGAGCCTCTAATCACTAGGCTACTCTGTTACTATTATTTTTAACTGAAAACTGCTCAGAACTATGTGAATTGAACTATTTTTATCATATACTATATTTTATTTTTAAAATTTACTTTATAAAATAGAGGTGGGGGGGTCTCACTATGTTGACCTGGCTGGTCTCAAACTCCTGGCCTCAAGCAATCCTCCTGCCTCAGCCTCCCAAAGTGTTGGGATTAGAGGTGTGAGCCATCACACCTGGCCATATACTATATTTTATTTTATTTTTTGTTTTTGAGACAGAGTCTCATTCTGTTGCCCAGCTGGAGTGCAGTGGTGTGATCTCCCGGGCTCAAGTGATTCTTGTGCCTCAAGCCTCCCAAGTAGCTGGGACTATAGGCGCCTGCTACAACAGCTGGCTGATTTTTGTACTTTTAGTAGAGACGGGGTTTCACCATGTTACCCAGGCTGGTCTCAAACTCCTGATTGCAAGTAATCCACCGGCCTCAGCCTCCCAAAGTGCTGGGATTATAGGTGTGAGTCACTGTGCCTGGCCAATATATTTTATTTTATTTTATTTATCTATTTATTTTTTTGAGATGGAGTCTTGCTCTGCCATTCTGGCTGGAGTGCAGTGGTGCGATCTGGTTCACTGCACCTTCCACCTCCCAGGTTCAAGCAATTCTCATGCCTCAGCCTCCCAAGTAGCTAGGATTACAGGTACCTGGCATCATGCCTGGCTAATAGAGACATTTCACCATGTTGTCCAGGCTGGTCTTGAACTCCTGACCTCAGGTGATCCACCTGCCTCAGCCTCTCAGTGTGCTGGGATTACAGGCATAAGCCACTGCACCCAGCATCAATATACTATATTTTAAATAGGGCATATAAAGTTAGTCACAGGCAATTTTCCCTAGATTTAATTAATGTACTTTTTCTAGTGCCACTGCATTCCTATTATGAATGAGATTCTTCTGAGACTTTTTCCAGAGCTTTAGTGCATCATAGAAATTCATTGCTTTTTTTTTTTTTTTTTTTTTTTGAGACAGTCTCGCTCTGTTGGCCAGGCTGAGTGCAATGATGCGCTCTCAGCTCACCACAACCTCTGCCTCCCAGGTTCGAGCAATTCTCCTGTCTCAGCCTCCCAGGTAGCTGGGATTACAGGTGAGCACCACCACTCCCACCTAATTTTTGTATTTTTAAGCAGAGATGGGGGTTTCACCATGTTGGTCAGGCTGGTCGTGAACACCTGACCTCATGATCTGCCCGCCCCAGCCTCCCAAAGTGCTGGGATTACAGGCGTGAGCCATTGCACCCAACTAGAAATTCATTGTTTAAGTACACTTTCAGTTTGTTTTCTATTACAGGTTTTCTCTATCTTAGCCAGTTTGATTCCGCATGTACTTAGACTACCAATATTAATCAAAGACAAAAGTTCTGTATGACTTTTTTTCATCTTAGAGGCAGTATAAGATAGTGGTTTTTATTTTTATTTCTTATTCTTATTTATTTAACAGAGATGGGGAGGGGTCTCACTATGGTGACCAGGCTGCTATCAAACTCCTGGCATCAAGTGATCCTCCCTTCACCACCTCCCAAAGTTCTGGGAGCCACTGCGGCTGGCCAAGACGGTGTTTTTTCCTGCCTCAGCCTCCCGAGTAGCTGGGACTACAGGCATGTGCCAATATGCCTGGCTAATTTTTTCTGTATTTTTAGTAGAGATGGGATTTAACCATATAGGCCAGGCTGTTTTTGAACTACTGACCTCAAGTGATCCACCTGCCTTAGCCTCCCAAAATGAAGTTTTTTTTTTATGTATGAACTTTGGAGATAGTCTGAATTCTAGCCCTTCCACTTATATGTTAAGTACTAACTAGTCTTAGCTTTTTTTTTTCTTTTGAGACAAAGTCTTGCTCTGTCGCCAAGCTGGAGTGCAGTGGTGCGATCTCGGCTCGCTGCAACCTCTGCCTCCCGGGTTCAAGCAATTCTCCTGCCTCAGCCTCCTGAGTAGCTGGGACTACAGTTGCGCGCCACTGCGCCCAGCTAATTTTTGTATTTTTAGTAGAGACGGGGTTTCACAGTGTTGGCCAGGATGGCCTTGATCTCCTGATCTTGTAATCTGCCTGCCTTGGCCTCCTAAAGTGCTGGGATTACAGGTGTGAGACACTGAGCCTGGCCATCTTTTACCATTTTAATCAACTGGAATGGGTTGCCTTCCTTCTGACTCTATGTATTCTCTCTTTATGCAGTAGGAGCAACAAGGAATTAGTCACTTAAGGTGTTTTCAAATAACAACCACCATGGCTTTTTCAACAATATAATAATAACAGCTGAGAGGCTTACTATGTGCTATTTTTAATGCTTTTTATGGGTTAATTCAATTAATTAGTTCAACAACCCAGTGAAGCAGGTGTTTTTTATTATCTGAAATTTACAGGCAGGGAAACTGAGGTTCAGAGAGGTTAAGTAACTTTTCCAAGGTCACACAGATAATAAATGGCAGAAGGAAGTTTTGGATGCAGGCAAGTCTGATTTCATAATTGCACTCTTGACTACTTTAAAACTACTGCTTTTTTATAATAAACTGCCTTGAGTAGGAAATTCCACTGTCATGTATTTATTCAAATCAGAAGGAATACTTTTCCAATACCTCCGAAGCAATGATTCCCAGGCTTTAGGATTTCACAGGCATTACAATTTAAAAGAAAATTATGATAACCAATATAGATTTGCCACCTTTAAGGTTTCATGAGAAAGGACCTTAAAAAGCAAACACCTCCAGTAATCATTTACTATTAGTGCAAAGTATAGGACAATTTTTTTTTTTTTTTTTTTGAGACAGAGTCTTGTTCTGCCACCCAGGCTGGAGTACAGTGGTATGATCTTGGCTCACTGCAACCTTCGCCTCCCAGGTTCAAGTGATTCTCCTGCCTCAGCCTCCCAAGTAGCTGGGACTATGGTGGTGTGCCACCACGCCCGACTAATTTTATTTTTTTTCCTAGTAGAGACAGGGTTTCACCATATTGGCCAGGTTGCCCTCAAACTCCTGACCTTGTGATCCACCCGCCTTGGCCTCCCAAAGTGCTGGGAGTACAGGTGTGAGCCACCGCCCCTGGCCTAAAGGACAATTTAATACCAAAAAAGTAGGGTGGACGTAATCTAGAAAGATAGCATTTGAATGCATAGGTATTCATATATTGTTCTTAAATTTCTCACTTTTCTGAGGAAAATATTTGAGAACATTTTCCTTCCATCTTCTTCCTAATAGCTAGGCTAAGCCACTTGCATTTAAACATAATAACAATTTTAGTAAGTTTTAGTTGTCGTCCTTTAAAGAACCTGTATCCTCCGATCCGGAGATTAACAGTGCTATTAACTAAAAGTTGTTGTTTTTTAATAAAAGGTGGAATGAAAGATCAGGATCATTTGTTCCAATATAGTGGCTGGAAGACTTCAGCATTTGAGAGGTTTTGCTTAAAATCTTCTCAGTCTAGAAATTTTGAAAGATGAAATAAAGAATTTTGGGAACTAGCATTTATTTCATCCAATGCATTAAAATAGTAATTATACTGCTGAAAAATGAGAGAACATTCCTGTTAAAACCCAAGTTTTTTAATAGTGACAATGTAATAGGGTTTATGTTTCTTGTACCTTTGATTCCTTCCAGAATTTGAATGCCTGAGTGTTTTCAACAGGATGCCACATGTGTAGAAATCTACATATATGTGGAACTTGTGAATTTTTTATTGCACCTTTTTTTTTTTTCCTTTTTGTGGAGAATGAGGTCTTCTTGTTGCCCAGGCAGGTCTTACACTCCTGAGCTCAAGCTATCCTCCCCGCTCTGCCTCCCTAACTGCTGGGATTACAAGCGTGAGCCACCATACCCAGCCATGAATTTTTTATTTATAATGTGAAATGAGAAGCCTCAGCACTTACCATTTTTGAAACGGACTACAAACATGAATAACATAAATAGAAACCTTATTTGAAACAATTTTCTTTTGTTAACAGTTTATTAGACATTTGTTTCATGTTATAACTTTAGATAAATTTGAATATTACACAATTGTGTCAATTATCTTCAGCTTCAATTATAATTCCTAATTGATTCGAGCCTATTATCACGACCCCTGGTGGTAGTCTGTTACATAAGGTTAGTAAAAGGTCTGAGGTTTTTCTCCTAACAAACTTTGTGCTAGCTGATTAGACTGAAAATAAGATAGATAACTCTCTGGCAGATCCAGCGGATTGGATGCCTGGGTCCTAAATTTCTGAAGCCAGGAATTATTATGCGTCAGGAGTTGCAAAGAAGTTAGAAGGATAAAGGAGAATAACTTAGGACACCAAAGAACTAATTATTCGTCGTGGTGATACTAGCCCAGGGTTCGGCTCCCTTACAGTTCTGTAACTTTGATTCAGTGACTCGTTTCTCTCTCAGTACAAAGGAAAGACGGTATTCTTTCTTTTTGGGGCAGGGTCTCGCTCTGTTGCTCAGGCTGGAGTGCAGTGGTGCGATCATGGCCCACTGCAGCCTCGACCTCCCGGACTTAAGCTACCCTCCTGCCTCGGCGACAGTTTTTCATCGATGCTTCTAGTGATTTTTTTGGGGGATGGTGATAGACTGGAAACTTTTAAGAACGCCTTCTCCTGTTTTGAGAATTAAAAAATTTATTTATAGCTTTCATAAAATAGAGTGAAGACTCTTACAGACCTATGTTGGACTAGCAGGCGCCCAGTCTCTGTGGCCCGAGATAGAGCACGAAGATGACAATATATATGCATTCTGGTGCTGACGTGGACCGGGAGTGTGGACAGAGGAATTACTATGAAGAATCCGGAAGACAGGATGTAAACTCGTAATTCTAATCAACATAGGTGGGCTCCGAGTCTGTGAGACTCGAGGTACTGCAATACTCGACACCACTCAGTGGAACACCTCTCTTCACCTGGAACCCGGACCCAGCTTGATTCGCGGTGCCTGATGATGACGTATCCTTGCACCTGGCGGTGATTGGTTCGCGTAGAGGGGCGTCGGCCGCCAACGCGACTCGAAACCCGGACCTATGTTCTCGCGATAGTTAGCGGCCTCCGGTGTGGGATGGCCGCGGAGCCGGGCGGAGCTGGCCTGCGGCTCCCGGGGCCGGCTCTCCGGCCGGAGACATGGCCCGGGGGCCCGGCCCGCTAGGCAGGCCTCGCCCCGATACGGTCGCCACGGTCGCCATGCCCAAGAGAGGAAAGCGTCTCAAGTTCCGGGCCCACGACGCCTGCTCCGGCCGAGGTGGGCGAGGGGGGTAGGGGCGCTGAAACACTTTGGGGTTGGCAGCTGGGAGGGGGCTGGACCGTGCTGAGGCGAGGGCTCGCCTGCCCGCGGCGGGAGGGCGGCTTGGTCTGGGGGCCTGCTGCGAGGAGGAGGTCTTTGCGGGGAAACGCTGACGAGAGAAGGCCTCTTCCTTGAGGGTTGGTGCTGTGTTGCAGTGACCGTGGCGGATTACGCCAACTCGGATCCGGCGGTCGTGAGGTCTGGACGAGTCAAGAAAGCCGTAGCCAACGCTGTTCAGCAGGAAGGTGAGCTTTCCGCTAGCCTTTTAAGACTCATGTCGCGAAGACGGAACTAGGCATTTTATTTTTTCTCTGTTTTTCTTGCAGTCCTTTAGTCGTCTTCCTGTAATCGTGTTTACTCTTCCCAATGTTAAATTATGTATTGGGGGTGGGGAAGAATTAGTCAAGAGTAGCAGTTTCTGTAGTAGAAATATTTTCTTACTTTGCATTTAAAAACATGTTTGCATACTCTTTAGTTTCCACTGCATTCTACTTGGATATTAATTCCTTTGCTGTAGTTCATATATGTTTTACTCTGCAATTTGCTTCCTTGTTTAATAACCTTGGAGTGTTCTTTTCCTTTTCCGGTGTTTCCCTTGCTTTCAGTCTGTTTACTCATGAGTCTAGGATTTGTATTTTATGACACCTCTACCTCCAGCTCAGGACCAGGGTTAAATTGGATTCAATTGGTCTCAGACATTTCTCTGTAGAACTTATGGGAATACAAATAATACAAATAATCTTTTATCCTGCAGGGTTTATAGTGGAAAAATTGTGCACTCCTTTTTGCTTCAGGGCTGAAAAAAGGAGTCAGTTTCTGCAGCTTTGGAGTCAGTTTGCCCATTGCTTTCCATTTTTTTTGTATTTAAAATATAAAAATTTTTCTTTTTTTTTTTTTTTGTTGTTGTTGACAGATTCTCACCTTTCTCTCTCACGATGTTTCCCCCCCTTTCCTGAATGGATGCTGATACCTTGGCTAAGTTTTTGTATTTCTGGGCAGAACTGTGTGTCATCCCATTCTCCTCTTATTTTCTTCTAGTAAAATCTCTTTGTGGCTTGGAAGCCTCTCAGGTTCCTGCAGAGGAAGCTCTTTCAGGGGCTGGTGAGCCCTGTGACATCATCGACAGCAGTGATGAGATGGATGCCCAGGAGGAAAGCATCCATGAAAGAACTGTCTCCAGAAAAAAGAAAAGCAAGAGGCACAAAGGTATGGAGCTTGCTCTCTTTTGGTTTATTAGACCTGCCTGTGGTGACAAATTGAAGCTGTTACTTTCCCAGTAGCACAGGGGGAGATAAAAGAGGTGATACCAGGGGAGTTTGAAGAAAACTTGGCTCTCCACAAGCACGCTGGTAGTGGGACAGGATTTAATACACCTGGGCTTTTTGCTTTTGTCTGAATTCGAGAGGGAAAGAGATGAGGATGTGTTAGTAGAGTTCTGGAGCTGTGCACTGGACTACAGTAGCCCTTCATTGAGAACATGTTATTGGGTAAAAACCCGTATGGCAATGTGAAAACAAAAGGCCTTTGCATTTCTGGATTTCTGAATGTGTAAGGAAGCAGAGATGTAACCAAAAAATGTTTTCCCAAATATGTGGATTTTTTGTTACAAGGTTTGTTACTTACAGAGTTAGACATTTTCATGGGCTTTTAAGTGCCCTATAATTATTAATGTCTGCTTCGTGTCTAGTAAGTACTGTGGGAAATAGAAAAGTAGGTGATTTTTTTTACATCCTAATAGGAATGAAACTTACACAAATGAAACAAAGAATAATAAACTGATGGTATATAATGTGCCAAACCATCATTCAGATTCTGGGGTTTCTTTCAGACTTAATAAGTCAGAATCTTGAATCTCTTGGAGTAGAACTCAGAATTTTTTTTTTTTTTTTTTTAATTGAGACAGGCTAGAGCATAGTGGCAAGATCATGGCAGACTGCAGCCTTGACTTCCTGGGCTTAAGTGATTCTCCCATCTTAGCCTTTTGAGTAGTTGGGACTACAGGTGCTGTGCCATCGTGCCCACTAATTTTTTCTATTTTTTTGTCGAGACCTGGGTTCTCACTATGTTGCCAGGCTGGGTTTGAGCTCCTGGGCTCAAGCAATCTACCCGCTTTGGCTCCCAAAATGCTGGGATTATAGGCATAAGCCACCATGCTTAGGCCAGAATTTTTAAAGCTAAAGTGGTTCAGATGATCAGCTACATTTAGGTGAAGGCTGATAAATAATAAATATATGTATATTTGGTCTCAGATTACCAGAACTTTCACCTGAGAATCAGATCATAAATATTTATATTCATCAAAGTATATTCAAATAATAATGAAATTAATGGTATGATTGCTTTAGAATTATTCCAGTTATTGTTAGTCATAGCCCTTTTTTTCAGGATACAAAAGTTAATAGAGGTTGAGCATTCCAAATCTGAAAAGCTCCAAAATCTGAAATTTGGGGAGCACTGACATGATGCTGAAGGGAATGCTTATTGTAGCCCTTTGGATTTCTGATTTTTGATTAGGGCTGCTCAACCAATAAGTACAGTGAAGAAATTCCAAAATGCGGAAAAAGCCAAAAAGCCAAAATCTGAAACGCTTTTGGTTTCAGAAATGCTGAGAGCATTTCTCATAAAGGGTACTCAGCCGGTATTGACATTCTTCCTACTTGCTTGTTCTTAATTTTTCACTTAAAATCCTCACTTATCACCATTCTATTAGGGATTTATCTTGTTGTTGTTTTTTTGGACACGTTCCACAGAATGGCTTAGACTCAAAAAAAAAAATGATAAAATTTATTCCTTTAAAGTGTACAATTCAGTGGTTTTAGCATATTCACAGAGTTGTGCAACCATCAACATGGTCTAAGTTTAGAACATTTTCATTACTCTAAAAAGAAACCCCATACTTATTAGCATCCCTTCTCATTCCAAACCCTCCTCCAGCCCTTGGAAACCAACTAATCTGTGTGTGTCTACAGACTTACCTATTCTGACATTTCATGTAAATGGAATCATACAATATGTGGTCTTTTGCATCTAGCTTCTTTGGCTTAGCATAACGTTTTCAAGGTTCATCCATACTATGTATGTATCAGTATCTCATTCTTTTTTATTACTTCTTATTTGGCCGCTATGAATAATGCTGCTATGAACATTCATGGACAAGTTTTTATGTGGACACAGGTCTTTTCATTTTTGGTTAGATAGGATTGAAATTGCTGGATTATATGGAAACTCTATGTTTAATTTTTGAGGAATTGCCAAACTGTTTTTCAAAGTGGGTGAACCATTTTATATTCCCACCAGCAGTGTATAAGAGTTCTAGTTTCTCTATACCAACACTTGTTATTGTCTGACTTTTAAAATTATAATGGGTGTGGATTTGTATCTATCTCATTGTGGTTTTGATTTGCATTTCCCTAATGGCTAATGATTTTTGCCCATTTTTAGATTGGGTTATCTTTTTATTATTTGAATTGTAAGACTTCTTTATTCAGGTTACCAGTCACTTACCAGATATATGGTTTGTCGCTTATAGGCTCTTAACCATAATTCATATTTTACTTCCATATTCCACTTTACTTCTCTTAGGTTTCTCCATTCCAGTCAGACTGATCTTTTTTTTTTTTCTTTAAATTTCTTTTTATTTTATTGTTTTAGCAGATACAGTGTATTTTTCTTCTTTTTTTTAAAAGCTTCGTTTTAATGAAAAATGTAGAAGAAGAGAGAATAGTATAACTCCTTATAACTATTACCCAGCTTCAACAGTAATCAACTCATGGCCATTCAAAAGTTTTTTTTCTCTTTCTTTTTTTAATTACCATTTTGTTTTTATACACTACCAACTCACGGCCATTTTTACTTCAGCCATTACTCCACCACCCTATCACTCTCACACACATGGTTATTTTGAAACAATTTCCATACCATCATCATCTCTATAAATATTTTAGTAGTTACCTCTTTTAAAATTTCATTATCACATCTAAAAGACTTAACAGTAACTTCTCAATGTCATTACCATCTTGTTAGACTTTTCTGTTTACTGTTCTCACATGTTTTGCTTTCTAAGTCCCTTGGTTTCATGTTAGCGCTTTATTTACTTGACATGCTTTTCCTCTTAACCTATGCCTATCAAAATTCTTCATGTACTTCATGACATCTCCATGAAGCCTTCCTTCATTGATTCTATTTCCTTCATGGAAAGCTCTTAATTATGTATAAAACACAATTCTTCATTATTTACTAAATTTTGTCCCTGAAGGCAGAAAATTTTTAATAGCATTCTGCTTTGTAAAAGTCCTTATGGGTCTCAGTAGAGGAAATGTTTGTTCGTTTGTTTTTTGTTTTTTTTTTCCAGACAGGGACTGGCTCTGTTGCCTAGGTTGGAGTGCAGTGGTGTAGTCATGGTTCACTGCAGCCTCGAAATCCGGGTTCAATAAATCGTTGCATCTCAACCTCCTGAGTAGCTGAGACTACAGGCATGCACCATCATGGCCAGCTAATTTTAAAATTTTTTGTAGAGACTATGTTGCCCAAGCTGATCTTAAATTTCTGGGCTCAAGCCATCCCCCCACCTTGGCTTCCCAAAGTGTTGGGATTACAAGCATGAGCCATTTTACTCAGCCACAACTGATGAAATTTTAATAGT